AATAGTCAAACCATGGCCAGTAGAACAGAAATAGATTTTGATTTCAAATCAGAGACTTTTTATCTTCTCTTTGGACTTGAAAGAACAAAGGCTTATACTTTGCCAGTGTTCATACCAAACCATGTGGAGGATATTTCAGTTACTTTAAGCCTGGGTCCCTTCCTTCATTCTCAGAAGCATAAATGGAAAGGGAAGGTTTAGTAATATTCACACTCAACAGCTTGTAGAAGAAATATCAAAATCTAATACAGTTACAGGTTAAATATAATTGCATATTTCTCACTTTAAGTCATGTGTAGCAGATTTACAGTTTAGAATCCTCCCATTTATAGAAGACTTCTTGCTTACATCTTTCATATGAATTTTTTTTTGGGGATGCGGTCGTGGGGCCTGAACTCTGGGCCTGGGCGCTGTCCCTCAGATCTTCAGCTCAAGGCTAGCACTCTACCACTTGAGCCACAGCGCCACTTCCAGCTTTTTTCTTTTTGCTTATGTGGTGCTGAGGAATCAAACCCAGGGCCTCATGCTTGCAAGGCAAGCGCTCTACCACTGAGCCACCTTCCCAGCCCCTTTCATATGAATTTTTAAGCTTACTTAAAAATTTATGAACAGTAAATTGTAATGAAAAGAATTATCTCAGAACCCCAAGAGGCATGGCCCTTGTTTAATTCCTGCATTTGGTGAATACTGTAGAATCAGATCATAAGCAGCAGCTCTGGCTATGCAGTTATGAACCAACTAGCAAGAACTGATCTTTGTGCCTGTTTTGTAATTTGTACAATGGAAGACTGGCATCATAATAGTGATATGAGGAAAGTTTTTTTCAAATAAGTATTTCATGGACGTACTCATACATTACAAATGTTGGACAATATTTCTCCTCAATAGTAAAGGTGAGGTGGTAAGAGATGTTTCTAACCCAGGAACTGTGTTCTCCAAATGTAATAGATCCTTTTTAACTAGTGTCTGCCTATTTCAATATAATGTGCTCATTTTTAGAATGGAAGAAATACAGTTTATTAAATATGATTTGATGCTACAAACATAAGTAAATAAAAGATTTCCCCCTGTCCCCAATAGATAACACAGGTTGGATTCCTAGCCTTCAACCCATGAGCCTTTGAGGAATACAGAAGATCCAAACTGTGAATGGGTAGATTCCAGAAGGGCGTCAGTAAAGGATGAGGAAGAAGCTCTCTGAGGAGGCCCATTAGCAACCTCGTGAAAGGGTGGGGTTTGCACCACAACTGGCCCTTTGTTGAGAGGATGAACTTTGGCATATCACTTAGGCCGCTGATTATAATTGACTAAGGGACTTAATGATTGTTGAAGGTGATCTGGGGCCCTGCAAACAGCTTCCTCAGTCAAGGCTCCTGAGACCCTGACAGAACGTGCTGGTCCAAAGCTGGACATTTTCATCACCAGCTTTGCATGACAAACCATTCCCACTGCCTCTTGTTGCTCCTTTGTAAATGACATCTCAGGGAGACACAGCTGGAAGAAGTCTATTCCCTGCTGTGTGGAGAAGGCTAGCAAGGTGGGAAATATCTCAGATAGGCAGGGCCTCTTCTATGTTGGGAAATTTCCTGAATATAGATAGAGTGCAAAGCAGCCAGAAAAAAAAAAAATAGGCAAACTTTAGATTGGTGGACCTATCAGGTGAAGCCTAGGGCTCAGGCAAAGGCAGGGAGGCATGAAGCCACAATGTTCCCAGGGACCATAGCAGCATGCGTACACTGCAGCGAACCTGGGAGTCTGGGCTACAACAGCAGCATGAGCTGCTTGCTCAACGTCACTTCCTTGTGGCTGGAAAAGCCAATACTTACTTATGTTCCATTCCATGTTCCCTGATGAGGCTCCAGAGATGTAACTTCCTCTTTGTTAGGCCCTGGCCCTGTTCTAGTTTCTTTGAGTTACTGTCTCCATAAATCATTGCCATAAATCTGTCAGATTGCATCATTGAAGAGAGACAAGCACTGGTAGCTCATCCCTGTAATCCTAGCTACGCAGGGGGCTGAGATTTGAAGATTGCAGTTCAAAGCCAGTCTGGGCAGGAAAAGTCCAAGATACTCTTATTTCCAATGAAACACTGGAAATCTGGAAATGAGCTGTGGCTCAAAGTGGTAGAGCAATAGCCTTGAGTAGCTTTGCTCAGGGACAGAGCCCAGGCCAACACAACTCCAAGCCCCACAACCACCACCACCAACAACAACAATAACAACAATAATAATAATATATTTTCCCAAGGTAAAAAAGGCATTGCATCTCTCTTTCTGATTCTCTCTCTCTCTTCCCTTCTGTCACCTCCCTTCCTCTCTATCTCTGTCTCTGTCTCTCTCTGTCTTTCTTCATTTCTCTCTGTCTCTCTGTCTCTCTCTCACATACACACTCATACACACTCATAAACACACATGTTCATTGGATTCTCTTCTAATAAAAGAAGCATTCAATTACTGGGCCATATTCCCTCCCTCCCTCCGTCCTTCCCTTCCTCCCTCCCTCCTTTCTTCCCTCTCTCTCTTCCTTCCTTATTTTCTTTTTTGTATATATGGGCTATGTCCCTGAGCTTTCCTCACTTGAAGCTAGTGCTCTACCACTTGAGCCACAGCTCCATTTCTAGTTTTTTTCTTTGGTGGTTTTTTGTTGTTGTTGTTGTTGGAGATAAGAGTCTCACCGACTTTCCTTTGAACCATCATCCTCAGATCTCAGCCTCCTGAGTAGCTAAGATCACAGGCATAAGCCACTGGCTCTTGGCTCATGCACATTCTTTGGCAATGTTTTCACTTCAATGTAAAATCAAAACTATTTTTGCCGGGCGCTGGTGGCTCATGCCTGTAATCCTAGCCACTCAGGAGGCTGAGATCTGAGGATCGCGGTTCAAAGCCAGCCCGGGCAGGAGAGACCGTAAGACTCCTATCTCCAATAAACCACCAGAAAACCGGAAGTGGCGCTGTAGCTCAAGTGGTAGAGCGCTCGCCTTGAGCTGAAGAGCTGAGGGACAGCGCCCAGGCCCAGAGTTCAAGCCCCACGACCGACAAAAAAAAAAAACTATTTTCAAAAATGTTAATGCTATTTGAGAAATAGAATGAACAGTCACTTGACTCATAATAAAACACATGAAAAACATTTCTAAACTTGCAAATATTTTGCACTTAATTACTGAAAATAAGCATTACAAGAACAGATATACAATATATATTTATCATATATACGATATATGCCATATTTTATTATATAGTATATATACTATGTATAATACATGTTATATATAGATCATATACAATATAGAATATATTATATAATATATAGTGTATGCTATTAATATAACATAATTATTTGATATTATTGATACAGTATACATCATATATCATATAGAGCATGCTTGACATATAATATGTAACATATAGCAGATCATACAAGATATATAATGTTATGTACAATAGATGTTATATGATTTATTTTATGTGTACATACAATGTATTCTGTGGTGTATTATGTAATATATTACATGATATATCTTGCATATTATACACATTTAATATTATACAAGTTACATGTTATATATTATGTATTATATGTGATATAATATATTGAAATATATTTCATATAAAATATAATTGTGTATTATATTATATATTACACTATTATAATTATATTAAATATTGTATGATTATATTAAACATATTTTATATAATCACCAAAGTACTCTGGGCAAAAGTTTCTAGTTTTGGTCACTATTGACTACAGCAGGAGAAATAATGAAGTTATAGCAAAAGTTTCCTTAGTAACCACCATCCTAGACTCTTCCAACCCTAAGTCTTTACATCTTTCTTGTTCTTTTGTTGTTGTTGTTGTTGGTCATGGGGCTTGAACTCTGGGCCTGGGCGCTGTCCCTCAGCTCTTCAGCTCGAAGCGAGCGCTCTACCAGTTGAGCTACAGCGTCACTTCCGGTTTATTGGAGATAGGAGTTTCATGGTCTTTCCTGCCCGAGCTGGCTTTGATCCAAGATCCTCAGATCTCAGCCTCCTGAGTAGCTAGGATTACAGGTGTGAGCCACCGGCGCCTGGCTTTCTTGCACTTTGATCACAATGGTCAGTGGAGATTTGAAGATTATCTCTGTCTTTTTGTGGAGAATCTCCTCCTTCCCTGAACACACAAAATATTCAGAGCAGGAGGACTTGATACTGTACCTCTAATTGTATATGACATAATTTCCACAAAGTGTAAAACTAACTAGGATGCTCTTGTCCCAAGCTAGCAACTAAGGATCAAAGATTAGGGAAAGATGTGTTAATACCCTGTGTTCTAAAGACAGCCAATCCAAGCGCACTATTAATGTCTCCTTTGAGGGACCCTCAAAGGTGACAGAACAGTGCCTCCCTCATCCATCCTGTGTCTCTGACACCAGCAGTCTATAGTGGGAGAAGAATTAGGTGGATAGGGGAGGCATTTGTCTGTAATCAAAGGCAAAGTATTTGGCACAGGGAGAGTTAAGGACCTTATCCAGGGGCGAGTTCCTTCCTTTCACAAGATCCAATGAGTCACCCAAATATCCAGAGTGCTCCTCAGCTGGATGCTGGGCCACACAGCCTGTGGCCTTCTGAGAGGCAGTTTCCCCCTATCAGAGCTTTTCACCACATGCAGGTCCTGGTCTTGTGGAAGTCTTGGGACTGCTGTAGTACAGACAGGGGTCTTCTCGATGTAAAGACATATGCTTATTTCTTGTTCAGTTTTGTCTCAGGAAAGGAACCTCTCTAAAGCTCCTATGCTGTCCAAATCCAGAGCTAAGTAGTATTGTAGGAAAACTCTTCTCAACATCCACTGCTAAATGCAAAAGCCCACACTATTAGATTGCTGCTTTTGCATCATACATTCAAGAGATCAGTACATTAACTGGCTGGAAACAATGCCCTCCTGTATCCTTAAAATTGTTCTATCCCCAAAACAGCTGCTTGGACTTGCTCTGTCCTGAGTAAAGCTAGGGGAGTGGAGCTCACAGCATGGGAGCCTGGTGGACCTGGCCTGAAAACTTCGATGCTCCATTGGTTTTTTACCTGACAGAAGAACAGGAGAAAGACATATTCGGCCCAGGGGATGCATTCCTCCCCTGCATTGAGAAACACAGCCACACCCTCATTCAGCTGGAGCCCTGGTTCACAGCCACAGGCCACACTCAAGTCACTGTGGTGGGTCCACCAAAGGCCAGGCAGTGGCTCAGGAACATGGCTCAGTATTTGGGGCACCAGGATGCTCGTTGTCAAGCCCAAGGTTTGGAAATGCTGCAGCATGTCCGGAGCCAGCCCCTCACCAAGGAGGATTTGGCCTTTTCTTTCATTGCTTCCCTGATACCATGCTTCTGTTTTGGCAACCACGATGAGTGATCCCTTCTCTCCTAATGGTGCTCAGGCTTCCTCAAGATAAGTGCTTGATGCTCTTGGGGTTCCCTGGAGTTAATGTTGCCATGAAGACCGACTTCCCTGGGAAGCTGAGAAAGTCATGAAAGTCATGGTTGGAATTTGTGGCCATCATGTCTTCCCACAGGCTTTCTAGGCATATGTTTGAGGGGATTATAGAGAAGTGTTCTACTGCTAAACCAAATCCAGTATCCCAAGTTTAGTAATCCTCAATGCCTCCAAGTAGGTCTCTGCTGTGTTGACAAGCTGATATACCCCATTCAGTCTTCCTATAACACAGTACCATCTAACTTCCAGTAGAGGCATACCTCCTCAACACATCTCATATTTTCACTTTAACATTTAAATTAAGGCTCTTTGCTTTTATGATTACATGGACTACCATAACTTTTACCTTGTGCAATTTGGGGGCAACCGTTTGTTTTTTGAGATGCAAGTTTCCATAAAATGAAGGGCACAGAAATAAAATAAACAATAATTTAAACACCTGAAAAAAAATTGTTCTATCCCATTTGCTTCAATGCTTGTATTTAGAAGTACATTAAGTAGCAGTGGTTTGTGCCTATAATCCTAGCTACTCAGGAGGCTGAGATCTGAGGATCATGGTTCAAAGCCAGTCCAGACAAGTAAGTCTGTGAGACATATATCTCCAGTTAACTACCTGAAAACCAAAAGTGGTGCTGTGACTCAAGTGTAGAGTGCTAGCCTTGAGCTGAAGAGCTGAGGGACAGCGTCCAAGCCCAGAGTTCAAGCCCCATGACCAGCCAAAAAAAAAAAAAGGTCATTAACTATATTAAAAAAAAAAAAGTAATAGTAGACAGGTATGGCATTGTACTCCTATAATCCCAGCACTCAGAAGGCTGAGGCAGGAGAATCACAGGTTCCATGTCAGCCTCAGTTATAAAGTGAGACCCTGTCTCAATAAAATAAAGAAGAATAAAGTCATTTTTCAGTATTATACCAACTTTATATTGTACTCTATTACTGGATGGTTTATGCTGGGAGTGGTGGAACATTCAATAATTTAATAATAAATGCCTTTCATTTAAAGTAGTTGTGTGTGTGTGTGTGTGTGTGTGTGCGCGCGCGTGCGCGTGCACATACACACACACGTGAGCGTGATTGTTGGTCCTGGAGCTTGAACTCTGGGCCTGGGCGCTGTCAGCTCTTCAGCTCAAGGCTAGTGCTCTACCACTTAAGCCACTGTGCCACTTCCAGTTTGTTTGTTTGTTTGTTTGTTCTCACATATTTTTCTGCTTGGGCTGGTTTGAACCATGATCCTCAGATCTCAGCTTCCTGAGTAGCTAGGATTACAGGCATGAACCACCAGTGCCCAGCTAAGTGCCCTGTATTTAGTATCCAGCCACAGGTTCTGCCAGGGTTCATGGATCTTAGGCAGATCTGTTCAATGTAAACCATGTCACAACATCACAGACATTCACATCCCAACCTTGATTCATTTCTCAGATTCTAAAATTTAGTTTTAGGTTTTATTAGCATAAATTACTTGTCCAAATGGGATTCATTGTGATAATGGCCCAAGTTGCTCTCCATGTTGATGCCTAGGTTTGGGAACCTACCAGCAAGAGTACTTCTCCCTCATTTTATGAAGTGAAAGGGAAAAGCTACATTTTTTTTGTGCTACATCTTTTTCTTGCATGTTCAAAAAAATCTTTAAAGCCATTTTTAAAATATGAAACATACATGTCACATGTTCTAGTGTTATATCAAGAACTGAAAAGCCAAGTGCTGGTGGTTCAGGCCAATGTTCCCAGCTATTCGAGAAGCTGAGATCTGAAGATCATGGTTGGAAACCAGTCTGGGCAGACAAAATTCTTAAGAGCCTTAGCTCCAGTTAAACAGCAAAAAAGCCAGAACTGGGGACCTAGCTCAAGTTCTCAAGTTCAGCCATGAATAGGAAAACTGAATGAGGCCCTCAGTTCAAATCCCAGTACTGCCCCTCCCCCTCAATTAAAAAAAAATAGAGATTTAATAGAAAGCTTGCTTTCTCTGGCAGCATGTATTATGGGAAATAAAAAAACTTTAAAAAATTTATTGTCAAGGTGATATACAGAGAGGTTACAGTTACATTAGTAAGGTAATGATTACATTTCTTGTCTGACTTCTAACCCTTTCCCTAAATTTTCTCCCTCTTTCCCCCCCCACCCAATAACCTCTTAATCATGAATGGAGTGACATTGATCAAGATTCATTGTATTCTTTTTTTTCTCTATCAAATGTGGTTTTTATTCAACTGACAGTCATTGTATTCTTTTGCTGCTTTGTGGAATGGCAACTTTTCCACTGAACATAGCAAATAAAATTGTGTATTTGTGAAAGAGAAAGGAGGGAAGGAAGGAAGGAAGGAAGCAAGCAAGCAAGCAAGCAAGCAAGGAAGGAAGGAAGGAAGGAAAAAATCTTCGGTGGCCATGGATCCATTTCAGAGTATAACCTTTGCGGATCCTTTGTCCAGGAAAACAAGTCCCTGTCAGTCTGTGCCCTTTTCCTGGCCCCAGCATCAGGAGCCGCCTCCGGGGGGGCCAAGCAGGGGGCCCGGAACACAGTTTCCGACCTTTGTTGTGCTCCGGGCTATGAACGGACAGGAACGAACCAGGGACAGAACGGAAGCTAGCGTGGGGCGGGGAGTGGGGACGAGGGAGGGAGAGGGGGACGAATTTGGCGGACGGACCGCCTGTTCCGGTTGTCCTTGCAGGTCCCTGTGGTTTATCCGCGATGCTCCGGCGGGTGTGTGCGTGCCGGCCTCGGCTCCCCATCTCCCGCCGCGCTCCAAGCCCCGCCACCCCCGAGACTCCGGCCGCTTCGATGGCGCCGCTCGCCGCCCCGCCGGGAACATCCAGGTAGCGCCTTGCGGCGGTGCGGGCCCGCAGGTGTGCGGGCACCGCGGCCTGGTCGGGTGCGCGGGGTTAGACTCCCCGAGCAGGACCTTAGGAGCCACGGCGGCGTCCGGGCGAGGGAAGGGAGGTCGTCCTGGAGAGGACCGGTGACTGGGCCCGGGTCCCGGCGCGCGGGGCCCGCGGCCTGGTGGTCTGCGGTCCCACCCTTGCGGAGTTTCTTCCCGCGCGCGGCGTTTCTCCAGTTAGTCAGGCTCCGCAGCCGGAAGGTTATTGTGATGGTCTCCCTCCTCCCTCCTTCATTCTTTCCTGTACGCGCATGATGACGAGGAAAAACCTACTTCAGCCGGGAGCCGCTGGCGCACACCTGTCATCCCTCCCACTCCGGACGCTGAGCGCCCACAATCGTGGCTCACCAAAGCCAGGCCGCGCAGCAAAGTCCGTGAGACTTTTTTTTTTTTTTTTTAAATTTCCAGTTAACTACCAAAAAGCTAAACGTGGAGATGTGGCCCAGGTGGTAGAATGCTAGCCTTGAGAAAAAGAAGAAAGAAAAAAAAGCTTCAGGGACAGCGCCTAGGCCTTAAGTTCAGGCCCCAATACGGTCACCGAAAAATAAAAAAGACTATATTCCAGCAAGTAGTAGAAAATGCCTGTATACGTTAGTTTTGAGAAGAAGTGCTGCGGTCTGCCTAAAGGTACGATCATTGTTCCTATACCCAAATCTGGCTGCTCACTGTACTTCAGACCAATTAAGTCAAGAGACGAGTGTTGAGAGAAGGGAGTTCATTTTACCCCCCTCCCCTCCGCCAAAAAAAAAAAAAAAAAGCTTGTTAATCAAGAAAGTAGAGGATGCTTGTCCAAAGCTTATCTTGCTAATTTAGGAGACCTATTCTATAGGTGATGAGTGATGACAGCCTGGTGGGTGTCTTTTCACAGGAAGAGAAGTTGGGTTTTTTTAATAAGTTTTTTTTTATTGTGAAAATACTGTACAGAGGGGTTACAATCACATAAGCAAGGTAATGAGTACATTTCTTATCAAGGATTGTTGCCTCCTCCTTTGTTTTTCCCCTACCATCTCTTCCCTCCCATCTCCACAACTACTTCCCCCCCAACTTGCCTAAATTGTAAAGTTTGTTTTTCCACATAACGTCTTGTACATCTCATTGGGTCCACCTGTATCCCTATTTAAACAATTTGTTTTTTCCCTATATTAAGTGAAGTAAGCCAGGCTCAAAGAAACATAGGTCCCATGGTTTCCCTTATTTGCAATAACTAGTATATATTTGAGACAAGCAGAAAAGGTCAGATAAGATGATGTTAAGCGAAATGAACCCCAAGATAAGGACACAAGTGGTTTTTTCTTTCTTGCTATTGTTTCTAACATATTTATAAGGTACGATGTGATTTTTTTTTTGTTCTTCCCCCATGGTATAACCCCTGTTTTTACTTTATTTGATGAGGAGAAGGTTTGCAGTCAAGTACCTACCTAATCCTAGTTGCCTGGTCAAGAGATGCTTTTCAGTTATACACATCTCAAGAACAAATATCATTTCCCTGGATAATTCTTGTCACTATTTTGTTCATGTGTAGTTCCTAACTTATTACACAATGGACAGGTTATAGGGGGTAATTGTCCACACTTTTTTTGCTGATTGCCAAACTTATGGCAGTGAAAGGAGACTTCACCTGATGATTAGGAAAAGCAATGGTCAGGTGAGGTTAAAGAGGAAATCTCTTGAGGGTATGGTTGGGATTGGAAAAGATGGGGGAACAATGGAAGGTGTGATATTGTTCAAGATACATTGTAATTATAATAGGACATATTGAACTGAAACCACTTGTACAACTACTTAAAAAAAATTTTAAAAATTACTTTAAAAAATGAGGAAATTAAACACATGAGGAAATGTTCATCATCCCTGGTGGTGAAGGAAATGCAAATAAAGACAACCCTGAGATACCACCTTACCCCAGTCAGAATGTCCCACATCCACAAATCAGCCAACGACAAATGCTGGAGGGGATGTGGAGAAAGAGGAACCCTATTACACTGCTGGTGGGAATGTACACTTATACAACCACTTTGGAAAGCAGTCTGGAGGGTCCTTAGAAAGC